AAGCGATGTAAAATACTAAAACCAGGAACATGTCTCTGTTGGTTTATGACATGAACTTAGCAGATGTAAAGCCATTTAATATTTAATTTATTTATTTATTCATTCATTCATTTAAAAGAGACAAAATAAACAAAACAAATTCATCAAAAAGAAAACATTGAATGAAAAGAGTGCAGAAAGAAGAAAAAAAAAATCTTATGTCTCCACCTTATTAAAAAAATAAATAAAATAACTTTAAACAGTCATTTAAATTAATCAGTTTAATATCCACTTTAAAGCTAGGAATAAAAAAAAAACATGTTTCTTGTTAGAATTTAATTCTAACTTTGAAACTTTTCCAACATTAATAAAACTTACTTCAAGTTGCCTTTTTGGACATGCATGCATAGATTTGTACAAATTGTACTTGAGAGGAGATTATTACAGCCTCATATAAAATCAATGATGATGATATCGGAGCGGGATCGGTATCAGCTGATATCCAGACTTAGGTATCAGGATCGGATCGGAAGTAAAAAAAAAAAGTAGATTGGCGCATCCCTAGTTTAAAGGTAAATGTATTTGCGCTTAAAAAAATAAATAATTTTTGGTTTGGCACACATGTTCTGAACAAAAGCAGCACAACAAACAAGCATGGAGAACACAAAGAGTTCAAGGACCCCCCACTAACATTAAAGTGCGCTGTTTGGAAATGTTCAAGTTTCTTAGGCAGTGACGGCAGAGAAGGAAATGTGGTTCAAACAAGAATTTTATGACGACATTGCTCAACAAAGAGAGGATATGCAACCGTCTCCAAAGTAAACTTAGTTACTCACTTGGAATGACATCACCCAAATGTAAACAGAACTGGGAGGGAGAGACAACAAACTGAAGTGCAAGCCCTGAGTCTTTGGGAGGCAGGGCGCCCGGTTCTGTTGACAGGGCGGGACGTCCTCCTTGCTTAATGGTAGAGGAAGCACTTCTCCAATTGGTTTTAAACATAGATCCGAGGTAAGCTAATTGAGTTGAATGCCAGCTATAAATACCAGGGTGGAAAAGAAGCTTTGACAATTTGGTCCGAAAACCGAGGGTGAAACTGGTTCTTTTACTGCAGTGGATCCGGTTTTTCCTTCAAAGTTCGAAGAAAAAACAAACATTGGTTTCATCAACCTTGTCACCTTTGTTTGGTTCACGAATGCCTCGGCTAAATGTCTTCAGTCATTGAACGCCGTTTATCGTTTGTAACCGGCTGCAGACGCCTCACTGTGAGCTGTAGACCAGAGCTGACTTCGGAGCGTACAAAGACACACTCACTGGATGTCTTTGATTTGTAAGACTCTGCTTGGCCAGGTTCTGTCTTATTGGGTTCACTCTTACAAAAATCAAACTACGCCGTTCGCTCCAACATGTTCCTTTTTCTTGTGCCCCGAGTTTGGAAGGAAAAGAGAAACGAGCTTTCAGCGTTGCTCCTTCAACAGCGTGGAGCCTCCTCCAGTCTGAACTAAAATTGTTAGACCTCGTTTATTTGAAATGATTTCAGACATTTCTTTACAAGAAGCAACATGGATTCATTATTCATCGTCAGTGTTTTTCAGTCGTTATTTAATTATTGCAGTTTTTGCCTTGTATGGTTGTTTAAATTGTTCATATTCTTTTATTGTTTGCAGCTTATGTGACTCTTATGGTGTGTGCTGTTTACCTTTACTTTTGCCCATGTCCCTCTGGCAGATGACATCTTGATCTCAATGTGGTTTCAAATCTGATTAAAAAAAGGAAATCAAGTGAAATGCCTATATGCACCTAAATAAGTGCTATTTACATTGGGTTGTTTTTAATGTAGCCGTTTCAAAACAGGATGTGCGTACTGAGCTGTGATTTTTGTGTACCGCTGCCATCCTAGGAACAGTACGTGTTTGTGTTTGGTTCTGCAGAGGCAGCCAGTCGAGCTATAGTGCAGTTCCTGGAGGTGAACCAGAGCGAGGAAGCGAGTCGTGGTTGGATGCTCCTGACCACCATCAACCTGTTGGCCTCTTCTGGACAGGTTGGTAGAGAAACATTTCACTTCAACCTTTTACAAGTCAACTCAGTCTGTCTAAAAATCACCAGTTCTCAACTAATGAACATTACAATTAAAACCCAGTTTATTCCAGCTAAATAAAAGTTAACCAAAACTTGTTAAAGCCCAGTTAGAATACGATACTCATTTACAGCTTGGGCGTGTGCTTGTGTGTCTTTTCTGATTGATTGAGATTCCCTAATTGACTACAAAAGAACAAGTTTGTAGGAAGCAAAACAGTAGTGAGTGTTTTTGCACATTTTAAATCTCTTTGAGACATTTTTGGATCTCAGTGAAAAGCATAATTTCTGTAAGAAATAAAATATTTGCCTGAGTAAGACTCGTAGAACCGTTTCCTGCTGATTGTCTTGAAAAGCTGCCCAAGGTAATTGTGCCTTTTTGCCTTTTTTATCTGTTCTGTCACTAGATTCATCCCACAAATAGCTTTTACAGTTTCAAGCAAAAAGTGAAAGCAATAGCTTCATAGTAGCTTTAAAGGTCGGACTTTAAGCTCTTGCTTTATGTCTGAAGCTAGCAGATATCTTTTGAACTTTTCAGAGTGAATTCCTAAGATCTTGTGGGGGAGCGCTGCTGTCAGCTGGCCGAAAGGCTGTTTTTCTTGCTCTAGTGCACCAGAAATTCAAACACGCTCTCCAGACATGTGATGAACCTCCTCTTCTCTTCGCCTTTGCTTTATTTTATTCAGCATTGCTATAATCCAGCTGCAGTTAGAAGATATAGCTTCAGTGGGAGTGGAACTGATAATAAGTGAACAGTTTTGACCTAATCAAGACAAAAGCGGTCATTCTTGAGATGTACAAACAAAAATGTTTCTAATTAGAAGGAGTCCGTCTTCCTCACAACTTCTAACAAACGGAACAAACAGTGAAAACCTGAAGAGTCTGTGTCTGAGACCCAGACTGAGATGTGGACTAACAGCAGCTGGACTTTCTTTTTGAAACAGCAGTTGTTGCATTTAAGATCAGATAAGATGGAACTTTATTGATCCCGCAGGAAATTGTTGTGCCAGAGTTTCAGTACAAAGGAACATACACAAGATAGATAGATATAGCATCGTTCCTACATTTCATAGCAACAAAAGTGGAGAAAAATCAATATCTTACTTACTTAGTTATTTAGGTTTAGGTTTATTGTCATATGCATAGGGCTGGGTACTTTTCTAAAAAAAAATCGGTACCGGTGTCGGTACTTTCTCTTCGGTGTCGGTTCCTGGACGGTTCTTTTTTTGGTACCAATTTTGTAATTACTATTAATTCTAACAAGAATAAAATTACGTTACACATTACAGTACAAATTGTGAGTTTTATTTTTTAACTTTGGTATTTTTATTCCAAGCAGTTTTCTTACATAAGAATAAACAAATGATTTCCAGTTCAAAAGACCAGTTGCAAACAACCAGTGACACGTCAGTGTCTAATGGTCACTGCTACACACTGAGGACCTTTTCACTGAACAGTTTTTCTTCAGAAACATCAACATGTCTGTTTTCTCTGGACACAAACCAGCTGCTCCTGGCTGATGGTGTCTCCAGCAGTAGAACATGTTCACTCTGAGGCTGTAGATGATGATTGTTGCACACACAGAAACCTGGTTGTCAGTTTGACATAGTGTCCCTCACATCCCACCAGCAGGTCACTGGATTCTCTGAGGTAGGGTTGATGCAGACATCTGCACCTCTGTGTCTCTGCCTGAATCTTCTCTGTGGTTCTCTGGGGTTTAGGGCTCTTGTCTTCTCCCTAATTGACATGAGAACAAAACATCAACAATAACATGGTTGTGTTATTATTGCTCAAAAAACATTATCTAGGCTGAGAGATAAAAGTTTTAACTGGTCAACAATATCCTTTACAGTTTACTTACCTCCACCATGGAGGCTCCACCGTAGAAAAAGGCAGAAAACTTTAACAACAAAGTTTGTGATTGTCCTGTGGCCCCCACCTGTCTTTTCTTTTGTAGGCTTCTGTCCTCACATCTGGGTCAGAACCTCCCGTGAGGAGAACATAAACAAACGGTGAACATTAGGCGAACCATTTTAGCAGCTGATTCGATGGATGAGCACAGTTGTACAAGCTAAGCTTCATCTGTTACTGTCAATCTTTAGTTAACTTCTGAGTTTAGCTAGCTACGTAGATAAAATAAATTTACACACTAATATCTTAAAGTTAGCGTTACATGGATTCTAGTTTCATTCACCGCGATGTACGTGTTAAGCTGCAGTAACGTTAACAAACGTAAACTTACTAGCTGAAACACAGACACAGCTCCGTCCTCGGAGTTCTTTGACGAAGAGGAGTCCGGTCGTGGAATGTTGATTCAGTCCGTTTAACACTCACAGGCTGACTTTAACGCTGAGAGGAGGAGGGGAGGCTGCTGTCTTTCTCTCTTCTTGCAGAAAAACGCGGAGCGACTTTCTGCTCGTAAGCAGAAAGTTGCGTGTGTTGTCAAAGCCGTTCGACAACACACGCGCTGCACACATGAACCCCGTCTGTGGGCGTAACCGGCATACAGACATACAAGCTGTAGGGCAGCTCTATACAGCTCTGGGTGTAAACATGTAGTCTGTTTGTCATACATCTGGTGTTTTACGTGCCTGTGTGCTGAAACCACATGACACGTTACAGCCAATACCGAAACTTGACACCAAAAAAAGAGTGACGTTTCAATCCATACACCGACCGGTCCAGTTCGGCCTGTGCCATTTAAGAACCTCGGTTCGGTACTCAGCCCTACATATGCAAATCAAAATAAGGTCAACAAGGCAATGAAATGCTCAGGACAAGAAGAACCGTCTCGACTCGCCAAAAAAGCATCAACAAGAAATACCAGAGCATGCAACAAAAATACAAAACCAAAAGTGAAAAATGAAATACATCTACAGCAGCATGGTCCTATTGGCAAAATGGTTCTGCTGGCAGTGAGGTTCTCCTAACGTGATACTGATAGCAGTGTGGTTGTTAGCAGTGTGGTTCTGTTAGCAGCACGGTCCTGTTAGCAGCTTGATGATAACGACCGCAGTAACAGACGATTTGTTTGCTCGACATTATAGTAAAGATGTGTCTCAGCTGAACTTTTACTTAATAAATGCACTTCAATGGTCAAATTAGCTGCATTTCGTCGGGGCGGCGCAGCAAAATCAAGCTGATTTGACGGTTGCTCCAGGCGAGCTGGACGAAGGTGGGAGGCTGTGGCAAGCCGATTGTGTCATTAATAGCCACTTTTATCTATTACATGACACAACGGCATGCCATACTACTCGAGTGCCATCTAGCAGCTGAAAATGGTAGTGTTCGATGTTTTCAGTCTGAATGAATGAAAACGGTCATGTCTCAGCCGAAAACTGGTTTATAAATATGGGAAGCATCTATAAATATGTCGCTTTGGCGTATAAGTCGCAGTGCATGCAAATTATACAAAAAAACGTGACTTATAGTTAAAAAAAAATATGGTACTTACTTACACATTTTTAGCACACTTACAGTAATCCAGATTTTATTTATTGTCTTAATGTCTTTTACAGGAAACAAATGGACTACTTTCAGTTTTTATCCTATTTTTATATTTCAGGAAGTAGAAGCTGTAATGAGGCGAACAGTTTTATTGCAGAAATGATGCAGAAAGTTGAGTTAGTAATGACCATAGGCGTCGCAACCATTATATGTGAAGGGGACGTGTCCCCTGCCCCACATTAAAAAAAAAAGTTCATTTGGACCCCCCCACATTTACCTTGAAACATTAGTTCAGTCGGCGCAGTTTCTCTTTCTTCGTGAACAAATCCATTCCACTTGATTAATAGGAGAATACTCAAGACACTAAAAATCCACTCCAGGTTTTCCTGGTTACCTCCAACTCTCCACCAAGCAGCAGTGTTTCTGTGCGTCTCCTCCTGCCTCGGCAGAGAACGCTCACAGGTGGAGGAGATGGAGACACCTCTGGGTTGCTCGCCAGTTTAACGAGCTTTAGTGCAGGCAGTTGTTGACTGGGGAGTTGATCATAAACATATATTCATGTTAGGAGGATGCTTGAGAGAAGTGGAGCGCTACGTCTGTAGCATGTTAGCTTAGCAGTAACTGTGACGCTGTGAGACGCTGCAGGTGTGAGAGACGCTGTGTGTTCAGGTGCATTAAAGTTGAAATGTCTTTAAAACCCCACACCGTATTGTCCTCAAGCTTCACGAGAAACATCATTTAGATGAGTAGTGTTGAGCACAAGTAAAAAAGACTTGTGATGGTTTTTATTTCTCTATAAACACAAATAGTGCCGACCTGACGCTCTGTATTAAAGTGTATTAAAGTTAAAATGTCTTTAAAACCCACAGCTGAATCTACACAAATTTGGCGAGAAACATGTTTTAAATGTGTGGAATTAAAGGAAATCTAGGTGAAATGTTGCTGTTTTTGGTGCACTGGTGCGTGTGCACGTGCACACACACACTCTCTAAAGTGCCCCCCCACATTACAGATGCTTCTGACGCCCATGGTAATGACGTCTCACATGTGACTCTTGATATTGACCTTTTTGTGACTGTTTGATATCAGAACACAAAACCTGAAGGGGAAATAATCATCCACCGAGCAGAGAACTGTTTGTGAAGATGAGACGAGGTTAAATGGGTTTTTATTCTTTCCTGCTGTGTCTGAGACGGTAAAAAACAACACTTCTCCATACAGCTGCCCCCATAAACCTGACGTCACTCGCTGCCTTTCATCCTCTGCTCACTCCGTCTCGTCTCCTGCTCTTTCTTCTTCAGAGGATAAAACGGCTTCATATTGTTTTTTTAAAGCTCTGCCCATTTCGTTTTTCCAGGATGCCCTTCACTCCAGCGTTCCTGATGTGCTCGTCTCTTTCATTCTTGAACACAGACAGAATTCTGTTCTCGACATTCAGACCTGGACAAATTCATTCATGCCCTTTTGTTAAAGAGAAACTAATGAATGGTCACTGAAACAACTAATAACTGACAATAGTTATAAGTTAAAATGATTAAAAAAGTCATTGCTTTAGAATTTTGGTTCAACAGAATTATATATATAGATATTAGGGATGCACGATATTATCGGCATGGTATCAGTATCGGCCGATATTAGCGATAAAGTTAAATATCGGACATCATCCATTCAATCAAAATAACAAGTATATAAAAGGCGCTGTTTTAAAATATATATATTATATATTTATAGTGTTCCATCATTTTCAGCCCCCTTTTTGGCATCTGCATTTGGTAATGGGCCAAATTGACAAAGACCATGTAGAATAATGTAGTATTTTGATTCCACAGCAGAGAAAGCTGTGTTGTCTCTGTAAGTAGCAGGGCTCTCTTGTAAATGAGTCCTCGAGGCTCAATGGGGACTAACCTGTATAAATGAAGGTTGAATGAAAAAAAATTTCTGTATTGATATCAGTTATTGGCCAAATAAGTTTTAACATATCGGCATATCGGATATCGGCCAAAAATCCAATATCGTACATCCCTAATATTTATATAAAAAAATAATAATAAAATTGTTTTTAACAAAAAAAAGTTACCCCCAGAAAAGATTTAAACTACTTTGACACAGGGGCGTGGTGTGCCCTGTAATTAGCACCACATGTGTCTTTAATCATGCAATCAGTCAGTTTGCCCATGGAAGGAGTGGACTGAAGTACCAGGGCAAAATAATTTTAAGTTTTTGGGTAAAATTAATTTTGTCAGGGCCGGTTTTATTAGCTTGTGTTTAAAATAAGTCTGTTGAAGTTATTTCAGTGGTCTTTGTGGGTTTCTTTCTTTAATAAAAGGATGAAAACAAATCCATGTGTGTCTGTAAATCTTGGGTGACCTCCTTGTGTCACTTCCTGTTTGACCTGTTTTGTGGCTTTCAGCTTGACTTTAGGCTGCAGCAAGGTTGATTTGTCCGTATCAGCCTGTAAACACACACATCTCTCTGCTCCGGTTCTTTTTCTCCCCGACTCACTGAGATATCAACTCCTCCACCTACTCTCACCATCACTGTTGTGTTTTGTTTTCTGTCCCTCCCCCACTCCTCCTCTCCATCGATCAGCTGAGGGGTTGAAATTGAGTGTGTCTGAGGGTGGACTAACTGATGGGGTCATCTTCTCCAGTGTCTCTGTGTGTGTGTGTGTGAGTGTGTGTGCTAATTTGTCGCATATGAGTGCTCACGTGTGCACGTGAAAGTAGGTAGTTTGTCACTGCGAGCTTCTCATTGTGTAGGAGGCAGTGTCTCATTATCTGAGTCATTCGCATCAATGATCACGAACGCCATCTTTTTCTGCACCCTCTCTTTTGTTATCACAGCGCACACAAACAAACACATGCACAACTAGAAAGACACAATGAACACACATTTCAGGCCATTATACCGTAGGTGCTCACGTTCAGTTTTGTCCACGCTGCAGCTCACAGGAACTATAACACACCAAATTGTCAATTAAGCAGGCAGGCTGGAAAGAAGCAAAATAAAAAAAGTCTTTGTGTAGATCACCTGCCGTTTGTTAGCTTTTTGCTTCATGTTGATTTTCACAGGATAAAAAGATCTTGCAAAAATCTCGAGCTGAAGTTTTTATTTCACCTGAAAGATCATGAATCAGGGAATCAATCAATGCACTTTATTATTAATTGTATCAGGCAGCACTGAGTTCACCTTCAACTCCTAATTTTTTTGATCTTTAGCATAATTTGCAACATCAGATATCAACATTACACATAGCTAATTTTCTTTATTAAGACAGATAAACAAAATAAAATATATTTCTGAATCACTGCAGTCCCTTGGTTTAATTGTCACATTGTGCACACAGTGTATTTTCTTGCACAAACACAACCGAAACTCATCAATGTTACAAAAATCAAAAGGATTTGATCCTGATGAGAAAGTTTGTAGCTGGCAGCCTAGTACTAATTTTGCTTATATATATATTTAATTTAAGGACACGTTAACTGATTTGAGAAAGTATTTTGTAGATTTTGTTTCTCACTTTGCAAGTTTTTTGTCGTTTTCACTTGTCTTTGTAACTAAAATGAGTATCCCACTGACAATTACCGGTAGCATCAGCAAATGTCCCTCCATCTTTCTTCTTTGCCTGCTGTTCCATTCAATGTGTCCAACTCCACAGAGTCGCATAGAAACACATAAGAAACACAACCTTTCACAAATATTTGCTCTAAACTGATTCTGGTTGGTGTCCAGGATGAAATGAACGCAAAAATAAAACCTTTTGTGCTTTTCTCTGCCCCTCGACAGAAGACCGTGGACTGCATGACGACCATGTCCGTTCCCTCCACGCTGGTCAAATGCCTCTACTTGTTCTTTGACCTGCCCAACATGACCGAAGCCCCCGTGGTCCCCCCTGCACACCCGGCGCCGCCTCCACCTAACCAGGAGAAGGCTCCAGGCCAGGGCCACACTCAGCCGGAGCTGCCCCTGGCTGACCGCCGGGCTCTGCTCCAAAAAGTCTTTGTCCAGGTAAAACGACAAGAGGTCGAGTTAAAATTTAGGAATTGTAAATTATATTAGTTGCATTAAATCCATGTGCTCACTGGTTTAAAGTCTTAACGCTATTAATGCCACTTGCAGACGGCAGCTATATCACTTCACTTCTGTGATGAAAGTCTTTGGCACTTTTTTCAAAGTACCCGTTTGTTTCTAGCTGTAGAGCGATGAGCAATAATAATTTCACTGTATCCCGATACAATAATAATAAAGCTGATTCTGATATTTTAAGTCTGATTCCTTTAACTGGAAAAAAAAAAAAAAACAACCCCAATGTTTTAAATTGCACTTTTTGCTTCTGCAGATCCTGGTGAAGCTGTGCACCTTCGTCTCTCCAGCAGAGGAGCTGGCCCAAAAAGATGACCTGCAGCTGCTGTTTAGTGCCATAACTTCCTGGTGCCCCCCTCACAACCTGCCCTGGAGGAGGAGCGCAGGAGAGGTGCTCACCACCATCTCCAGACACGGCCTCAGCGTCAACGTGGTCAAATACATACACGGTATAACAGATGTGTCATATTCGCAGGGTGTGTGCTCCTGAGGCTTCTCAGATGTTTACAAAATGTCTATGTTGTTGTTGTGGTGGTTGAGCAGGATTTAATGTTGTTTATAGACTCTCCATATGTGTCAAACAGGAACAGGAAATTAAAAAAAAAAAGTTAAATAACCCTCACTTCCAGACAATCTGAGTTGTTCTATACTTTGTAAATAAAAACTGCGTGCAATGATTTGCAGATCTTATAAACTCCAAAGAAGGGGGGAGGCTTCACAGGACAACATGGCTCTGAGACGTGTTGTTGCCATCAAATTCAGAATTACACAATTTTCTCCCCCAAATAAAGTACGATTTCTCAAGTTTCACCGTTTCACATTTACTATGTTCCATTGTGAACAAAATATGGGATTATCAGATTAGCAAATAATTGAATTTAGTTTTTTTTTTTACATTTTACACAACATCCAAACTTTTTAAGAATTCGGTCTGTAATCCAGAAGCAATTACCATATCTGAATATCCTAACAGGAAAAAAAAGGTTACAAGTTACATGTATATCTATACCGTGATAAAGGGGACAAAATATTTAGACGTTGGACAAAATTAACATTCTAAAATTTGACCAGTGGAAAACGCCAGTTTCTTTTGTAAAAATCCATATTAAATATTTAGGCTTGCTTTTATTTTTAGTTTTAGTTTCATTAAACTGGAAAAACCTCCACAGAAAATAAAATAAAAAGCAGTATTTTGTAAATACCTTTGAGAAAATTCTTGAACCCATTTGTGGAACTTGAGCTGCTCATCTTCAGGTTTTATTCCGTTGGAATGACCTGCTAGAACGTAGCTACACAAATGTTTTTTTAAGTTTTCTTTGAACAGTTGAACACAAGAACAGTCCTTCTCACTTGTGTTTTCCACCTGTTGTTAAAAGTCCAACAGGTGCTGTGGTAAATCCTTGTTGTAACAACAGTCTGCATCGTTAATCACTTCAGTGCTGTCACACATGACTTTTAACACTTTTTTTCAAATGGTCTCTTTTCCAGAGAAGGAATGTTTGTCCACATGTGTTCAGAACATGCAGCAGTCTGATGATCTGTCCCCTCTGGAGATCGTTGAGATGTTCGCTGGCCTCTCCTGCTTCCTCAAAGACTCCAGCGGCGTGTCGCAGACCCTGCTGGATGATTTCCGGATGTGCCAGGGTTACGCTTTCCTCTGTGACCTCATGCTCAGGTGCAACCAAATTCTCAGTTCCTAAAGCTCCTAACACAAGTTTATTTTTATTACATTTAAACAACTGGTTTCTGTTTAAAGGCTGGAACAGGCGAAGGAGGAAGAATCCAAAGATGCACTGAAGGATCTGGTCAACTTGGTCACCTGTCTGTGCACTTACGGGGTGACGGAGCTGAAACCTGCTGGTCTGACAACCGGAGCCCCCTTCCTGCTGCCTGGATTTATTCTCCCTCAGCCATCTGGGAAAGGTGGGAATCTAATGTCCAAACTTTGTTTTTGTTTTTTTAATCCTCTTTTTTTTTGTAGCTTTATTGAGTAAACAATGTTTTACTCTTGTGGATATTCAACATGGCTGATTATTGTAGGCAACACTGGGCTCAGGGTTATTTATTATACTACAGTGGTTCTCACATTGGGGTGTGTGACATTCTTATTTTATTTTAACCTTCAGATCTAAACATTGAAAAAACAAACGGATATTTGGACGTTGTTGCCACTCTGACTTGTTTCTGTGATGGGCTGCATGCTGGCCACTGTGGAGTGGATCTCCTCCTTACTGTTCTGTCCTGCAAAAGACCCGTAAAGAAGTGATGACGAGAAGGAAGAGTTTTATCTTTTGTTTGTGGAGGAAAGGTTTGGCTGCTGGAGGAGAAGTCACTTTAAACCAGGGACGAACAGTCAGAGTGAAAATGATGGAGAGGGAAAATGCTCTTCCTGCTGAATCTGAGCGGGACGTCCAACATGTGCACCGACTCATAGGACGCTTGTTTGAATGTGTTTATTCACAATGTTAGATCAGTGTGTAAATGTGGACGAAAAGGGGGAAAATTGGAATTAAGTGAATGGTAAAAGATTCAAAATGCCTCATTGTGAGTCACAAATTGAAGTCTAATCTTATTAATAAAGGGAATCAACATTTCTGCCAGTGGCGCTGGTCAGGGATGACGTCACTGGTTTAAGTCCCGGATGTCAGGCAAACGGTGCGCCAGACGGCATGAACAATGGCCACCACCTCTGATGCAGTTGTCCATGGCAACGTCAACGAAGACGACGTCCCCGGGGTCAAAGTTGACTTCGAATGTATTGAACAATACAGTCTCAGCATTATTCACCTGCACAGTGAGTGCATGAAACATTTTTAATGACTACGGCAGTTTTTGTTGACACGTTTCCATGTAGACATCGGAGCGCTGCGTACAGCTCTGTGGTCGTGATACATTTTTCCTTTAGGACTTTATTATTGTGCATGTCAGATGTTTAGCGATCTGTTCTTATAGTTTATATGGCTTTATATTGATACACACACACACATATATATA